GTCGCTCCTCGGCACAGACCGTATCACGGAGGATAGCTCAGTGTAGAACTGATCACGCGTGTCATCAGGATAACACATGGTCGGACCGTACGTGCTTATAAAAGTAGCAAACTTACCTCTTCCGAGTCGTAGGCGAACAGTCATCAGCCGCGCGCTGATGCCCGTTGGTTCACCCACCAGCTGGCCATGGAGGCGATCGGATATTGCAAATCCGACCCCATGTTCACGTGGTGCTGAGGCGGCGTTCCCCACCCAATAGAATGTGTAGCCAGCACCTGCTTCATGTAACTTACCTTGCTCAGCGAGCCGAGTTTCACTGAGCGCCGCAATATCGATGTGGTAGCGCGCCAGCTCCATTGCGACCAGTGCAGTGCGTCGCTCCGGGCGCTCGCTCAAGTTCCGGTCCAGTAGTGTGCGCACGTTCCAGCACCCGATGCTGAGTGCTTTGCGCGCAGGCATACGATTGCATTGGTGGGCAATCGCACGCGAGGTGATCGTTGTGCTTGGGAGGTTTGCTTGAGGGACTCCACCCGGAGCCTTTGGCTCAATAGCCTGACCCACAAGGCAGTGGGTGGTTTGGAGGTTTGCTTGAGGGACTCCACCCGGAGCCTTTGGCCTCAATAGCCTGACCCACAAGGCAGTGGGTGGTTTGGAGGTTTGCTTCAGGGACTCCGCCCGGCGCCTTTGGCTCAATAGCTTGGTCCACAAGGCAGTGGGGAGCAGGTTCAGCTCGGGAATGTGATTGCAGAGACAGATTGGGATCTGCTTGACGGCCGTCACACGCAGCCTTTGAGGTTCTGGAACAATTATCATATGTTTTGCGACCGTAATTGGATACGCACCTGCGACCACGGCCAGACGCAGGTGGGTTTTTGGCGGGTTTGCACCAATTTTGACCGGGGCTGCCTGCTTTGAGGCGGGCAGTAGCAAACCATTGAACACCCGGAGGTGTCCTCCCACCGTCAGAGACAATGCGTGGCACTCGTGCTCTACCCCAATCGAGCATTGAGAATATCACCCGTAACCTGTTGTCTCCCATGGCTAGGTTTTACGGGAAGTGGGCCATCGACCACTTCCTAACCTCCGGAGAGGATGGACTAGGATACTGCCAGGGCGCCCAATCCTGACAGGAGAACGACTCGGGTCCTCAGCCAAAGCCTTCGATTAAATGAACACCCGAAAGGCAGCGGGTCTAGCACATGGTCAGTTAGCTGACTCATGCGGATTGGTGTCCTGGATCTTAGCAGGGAGAAGGGCGAAACCTAACTCCCACCCAGCGGTCGCCACGTGGAGGCGCCCAGGACATGAGACCATGGCGCAACAGTAGCAGCAGTGGGTAGACCATCTGTCAGGATCTATCCACCACCAGCTTCAGCGCACCATAGGCTTTCCCGCCCGTTGTGTGTATACAGCCATCCATAACCACCATGTCGAGTAGGAAAGGGGATATAGAGTGACCCAGGCATACACCGTTTGTTGTTGGGATACAGCTTCTTAGAATCCCTTATTCAGCCTCAGGGATCACAGTAGATTGGTTTCGGAATTAAAAGGAATACTAAAGAATGGATGAACTGTCCATCTCTCTCTTTTGTCACGCTAACTGAAACCTTCCTTGTACTTGGGCTCCGAAAGATTTGGCGTAATACTCGATCGTTTTGAAAAACAATGTTGTTTCACATTTTTACTAATACTCCCAGTTTATTATTTTTCAGGATTCTACGAACAGTCCGAAATATAAATGCATTTGACGCACTTTAATACTCGCATCATAGGTGATAGCTCGAATTGAACCGGATGTCATCCAAGGCGTACCATCTTCTCCTTGCTCGATGCACATTGACCTATACGCCTCTCTATCTTGCACTGATGGTGCTTTGGGCTTTGACTAGGGAACATCTTTACCATTGAATCAAAATGAAGCTCGGAACCACAATAACTATAAAGTATAGATCACCAAACTTTAGGTTAAAATTACAATAAAAACTTTGTAGATCAAACAAGAACGAAACTGATGTCAAAAATGCAGCACACAAGCATCACGTATTTTCGTTGATCTCAAAGCATATCAATTTAGAAGTCCACGTCTAAGATCGAATCAAATGGGTATGAGCTTGTTTTTCTCGAAGAATTTTGTTGGCAAACGCGTTGACATTCGACTTGGAAGAAGAAAACGTCGCTTGCATTAGCACGAAATAGCGGATGGAACTTAATTGTATGAACTCTCCCCACCGATGACGTCCTTAATGTCCCAATGCCATTGCAAGGATCCTACTCACATCGCAGTTGCTTTATCCAAACAAATATTATTCATCCATTTTTCCCTGATTATCACAATGAGGAACGAATCGTGCTGAATTGCGGCTTCTAACATCTGACAAAGCATAATCTATTGCAAGTGCTACTACTCACTTATTATACTGTTTGGACTGGCGGTGAAATGTCTCCAATAAACTGACCTACTCAGATAGTATGTATGTATTTGAACAGATAATTAAATCTACCAGTATTTTTAGTGGATTCGAATGCGTTTCTTCTAGGACCTTGGTGGAGCTGTACGCTGTCGTCCACGTCCCCAGGTTGTGGATTGGGAAATGCCTTCCT